AGAAAGAGAGAGAGAGAAGGAGATATTACAGAAGGAAGCTAGAGGGAAGGGAAAGGATATACAAACCAGTATGGGCAAGGATATGTATATAGTAGGAAGACTTTCTAAGAAGAAGTATACTGTGCCAGGAAAGAGCAGGGTCTTTCCTAAGAATTCACCCCAAGGGCAATGACAAAGCTTTTCAGTAATTTCAATATAGTCAAATCAATCAAACTTTTCCTTCATGGTTTGATATTTCAATAATTTACTGATTTTGTAAGAAAGCATTCCTGTGATGATGTCATGAATGTATAGGTTTTTTTCTTTCATCAATGGTTTTATAATCTTCAGGCAAGAATATTTATGGATGGTGTGATAGCAGTCGCATGTCTCCTTTTACATATGAATGATTAGTTATTACAGTAGCATCTAATGAAAAAATATTACTCCTTCTAGTGACCTGAAAATCCAAATTTTTAAAAAAGTTTAGCGTGTCTTAATCTATTCATAGTTTACAAAAAAATTATTTTTGTGAACCTTGATTTTTATCAAAAGCTGATTTAGGATCTATTGATATAATTATGTAATTGTTCCTTCCTTAATTCTGTCATTTTGGTGAATTATCATTATTCATGTTTTGGCTCTGGAATAAATTCAATTTGGGCAATGAGTATGATTTATTTCATAATGGACTTCATAATATTTCAAACCTATGTTATTTTGTCAGACTATCCTTTTGTTTTCTGTTTTGCTACAGTTACACTTGACTAAAACAAGTATTTGAATTTTTCCTTTTATTTTTCAAACTTCTGATATATGTAAAAATTTTTTAGAAGTCAACTTGAAAAAAACCTAGAGACTTGAACAAGTATGATACATAAGATGTCTCAATGAATTTTAAACAAAATAATCTGGTCAATTTTATTAGTCATCAGGGGCGTAAATAGTAATGAAATATCCATTACTTACTACCAGATGGATTAAAATTAAAAGAACACAAAATATGAGTGTAGGCATAGATGTGGAGCAATTGGAATTCCTAAGGCCTGAGGAGTATAGGTGTTTACATCAATTTCCAGGCCTAATGGTATCTACTAAATCTGAATATAATTTATGTCTAAGCAATTCATCAGAAGATAACATACATTTTTGTTTTCCCAGAGATATATATGCAAAAATATTCATAGCAGCATTGCTCATAAAAGATGAACCTGAAAACACTTAAATACCTATCAATACTACAATGGCTAAATATGGTGTGGCATTTTCACACARTGTAATACAATGCAGGAATAAAAATTGTAATTTGCTGATACAAGAACCATAATGATTAAATCTCACAAAGATAATGTTGAATGAATGAATTAAGGCAGAGCCGAAAGAAATAGTGATGTATTATTTTGTTTATATACCATTCAAAACTCATACTAAATGTTACATGTGATAAGTAAAAGTATTATATGGAAATGAATTGAGGGTTGTTCTGGAGTGTTGTTTGTTTTATTTCTCCATCAAGATGTTTTCATAATGTAAGACGTCAGCAACCTGTATCTTTATGCATTGTTTGTTTGTTTTGAGGGGTACCAGGGATTGAACTCAGGGGCATCCAACCACTGAGCTACATGCCCAGCCCTATTTTGTATTTTATTTAGAGACAGGATCTCACTGAGTTGCTTAGCACCTGCCTTTTGCTGAGCCTGGTTTTGAACTAACAATCCTCCTGCCTCAGCCTCCAGAGCTGCTGGGATTACAGGCATGCACCACCATATCCAGCTGAACTGTTTATTTGTATATGAAATAAATTTTATAAGGAATCAATAGGCTTTCATAAAATCCAGATTCTTTTGAGGAGTATAAATACTTTTCAGTCCGGGGACTCAATGCACAGAAAATTGATCAAGTTAGGTGAACTGTGTTTCCTTCAGATTCTGTATRTGCTGTGCAGTTTGTCCAAGTTTCTGCTACTCTTTTAGTACTGGGTACAGGCCTTAGCTAATGTGGTTGCCATCCATCATTGCATCACTGCAATTGTTTTCTTAGACCTGTCATAGATATCATCTGGCTAGAACATGAATGTACATGAGTTTTTCCTCAGACTCTGAAATATTGGAAGAGTCTTAGCCAAAATGAAGTTCACCTTTTTTATTGAGGAAAAGTATACTTGAAGAAAAGCATAAAGTATGGGATGAATATGGTATAYTTATAGGCAGCAGGCAGGAAATTAATGGGATTTCCATTTGGGGCCTTTGTTTGGTCTTAGATCAGAGTAAGATAACCCATGCAGGGACGAGTGGGAGGATTTAATAATTTGTCCCAATTTTCTATGATAGAAGAGAAGAACAACAGGACACACATAGAATGACTTCTGGGCAGACCTAAGAGGTCATTTGAAGAGAGACTGGGATTTTTGAGGGTGTGATTCCACAAAGTCATATRTTCATCTCCATCAAGCCCAGTGCTTGTAAGAAATGAGGAGAAATGTCCTATAAAAATGTTCCTGGTCTAAGTTTTCAGGATAGACATAAAGAAAGGATAAGAGAAAATTTTAATGTTCCAATGAAATTATCTACCAATAGGATGCATTTATTGTGTGTGTGTGTGTGTGTGTGTGTGTGTGTGTAATACTAGATTATTGATGGAAATTTAATATGAATATATTCAAAATGGAGTGAGTCAACTTTGGGAGGTTATTAAAGTAGAAGTTAAAAGTTTTCGTGTTTTTGTCTAGCTTAAACAGTACTGAAAGGTAAGACTCTCTTTCAGAATGATCTCCTGGGACCATGGACTTTGGATACTACA